TGCTGATCTAGCAGTAGCCTGCAGTGCTGCATTTAACCACTGCGCCACCTTGGCTCTTGTTACCAAGCTAGTTGTTCAACTGGGATAAAAGATTGAATTAGAACCTCTGATGGCTGGATTGATCAAATTTGCACTCAATGTTATATTCAGAAAAAGATTGGTATAATATGTGGTGGTGCAGTGATTAGAATGCAGTGCTGCAGTCTACTTCTGCTGATCATCAGCTGCCAGCAGTTTGGTAGTTTGGGTCTCACCAGCCCAAGGTTGACTCAGCCTTCCATCCTTCTGAGGACCCTCAGTAAAATGAGCACCCAGATTGTTGGGGGCAATACGCTGACTCTGTAAACTGCTTAGAGAGGACTGTAAAGCACTATGAAGCGGTTCATAAGCCTAAGTCCTATTGCTACTGGTACTGTTAGTACATTTCTCTGCTATTGGTTCCAGACTAAACAATTCATCCTATATTGCATTGTTAGAAATAAAAATAACCAGGGTGGATGGTATTTTTTTTCCATATTTGCGGCAATGTTATAAATTTTATAAAATCCAATAATACGGGTGGCTGCCTTTTAAAAAAATAACTAATTTTTATCTTACCATAAAAGTATACTCATTTGGCTTAGCCTATGGCAAACATCTTAAGTCAGGCAGAAAATATTGCAATTTATAATTTAGGATTTGAGCTATACTTATTATTCACTACATAATAATCCCATTTATATAACAGCATATCAATGCTTTCAAATTTTCAAATTGTCGACATATTAACATCCTTTTGAATTTTTAGTTAATGTCATTATGTTTGAAAATCTCCTTTTAATCTATTTTTCTTCATTATATTATTTTATAGATTTTCTTTATAATTGCAGAAGTAACAAATTAACAAAAAGACAATTAAGAAAAATTATAATTAATGAAATAATTAGGTTCATGTCGTGTACTGTATAAAACTGCATGCATGCATATAGTACATATAGATAGAAATCCAAAGATTTGCATAAAAAGCCAGTGTCAGCTTCTACTTTGCTTGCTTTCGGATGCAGGGAGGGAGGGAGCTTGAGGTTTTTGGGATGAGGAATTTATGATGCTGGAGGAGTTATCAGGAGGGAGTTTGGTTCTTGCCATCTTCTGTGCATGCTAATGGCCTGTATTTGAACTTGGTCAAGGTGAACTGTCTGCATACCAATTAAATGAAGTTTTTTGAAGATGCACCCCACATGACACCTTAAGGAGTTGCAGATTGCTGTAACTGGGTTGGGGTGATTAGGGGGAGAGTTCTGGGCAAACATTTGATATGTACATGTTCATGCCTTTTTGGCTCAGATCTTGCTTTCCTTTCACTGCTTTCTTTTCATAATCAGTAAAAGTATCTATATCTCTACAAAAATGGAGTTGGGAGTTTTCTTTCTTGGTTATTGAAGGAGGCACGCCTGACATTAAGCAAAATCTCTCCTTCACACCCATCCCAGAGTTAAAAACTTCCATGGGGGGTGTGCATACAGAAATGTCTAACCCCTGCAGCGACCAGGAGGATATGGGAGAGACTGGGTCCTCTTTTCCTTTGGAGACGGAAGGCGCCAAACTCCAAAAATCCCTCCTCTTGAAGTGAAGTATGGAAGAGATCCTAAAGATCTGGGATTTCTTTAGTTCTTTAGTTCAGGTTTGGGATTACATGCAGCAATATGGGGAGGATTTCCCATCTGAGGAGGCCAAAGTGAGAGCTGTTACTATGGCATTGGAGAACAAAGTGGCTTCCTGGATGGTCACTTTGCATAATGATGATTTCCCCCTGTTGAGACATTACAATGTGTTTATGGCAGTCCCGAGGAAGCGCTTTGATAACCCCCTTGCAAATCGGAAGGCAAGAACCAGGATGAGAACTTTAACCCAGGAGAGGAGGTCTGTGGCTGAGTTCACATGGATGGCCTGAATGATAATGTATATCAGGGCTGTGTGAATAGTACCCACCCCCCATGACCTGCAATGTTGGTATGAACTAACAGCTGATGTGGAAATTGACTTAGCCAGAAATCAATACTGTGGAGGCAGCAGCAGAACCAAAAATCCCCCCACCTATTCCAAAAGAGAATCCAAGAGCAGGAAAGGGGTGGTCATCCCCGATCAACTGCCTGTTTCTGATGTGGGAAGGAGGGGCATCGGGCTGCCAACTGCTATTCTAAGATTGTCCCCAAACCAGCCACAGCTGGAGAGAAGAAACCCAACTGGCAGCTAGGGAAATGCTGTGAAACCATCCTGAAAGGCATGGAAGTTGCTGATGTCCTTCCTCCAAGCCAGGAGAAAGTGAATTCAACTCCGATGGCAACCACCTGGTAAGTCCCTGGTCGGGCCCCATGGCCATTCCAGTAGAATTAAAAGTACTCTTGACTGGAGCCCAGGGGAAGATGCTGGCCCTTTTAGATTCTGGCTGCACCCGATGTGTGATTAGCCCAGAAGTGGTTGCCAGTTGGATAGGTCAGTGGCTGGGGGGGGGCATTTTATAACCGAACCAGTAGAGATGTAGATGGGAGATCACTGAAGAAATTCCGAGTCACTGACCTTTATGCCAAATTGACTAAGTGTGAATTCCACCAAGAGAAAACTGATTACTTGGGTTACCATATCTCTCATGAGGGCATCGAAATGGATCCAGAGAAAGTCCGGCTGTTACTGAATGGGCAGCTCCTTG